TTCGAAAGCAGCACATCCACTGCAAATATTTCTGTTTAAATTCATACAACAATGTTGTAACTTCTGGATAATAATTTCATGAAATTTCAGTGCTTAACTTCATTATTCAGAGTGTCATATTTAATGTAAACGTGTATGTTAAATGTAAAACAGACTTTAAAATCATTCTGTTTGCTTCCTTATTTCGCTCACTCCAGTAAAAGAGTGCGTACGCATGGTCTAGAGTGTCCGTATGGTGAGTACATATTTACGCCTAGTTTATTTTTTATAAATCCCAATATGTGCGCGGAAAATTGCGTACGCACATTTCCATGCCCATTTTGTGCTTACACAACGTTTATACATCAGGCCCCAGGTTGTCTTATAACCTGCCCATAGGGGGTGCTACAACTAAAAACTTGTCATAATTCCACTAAAGTTTGATCAAGGGAAAAATAAAAAAATACGTTTGAATAAATTTGACCTGAATCTTCTTCGGGAAAGTGCTAACCAATCTTTGGAAAGCAATTTCTAAATGATCAGCCATTTATATATTACAGTTTTTTACGATTGCTTAAGCACAATTTTGAAAACAGGGCCCGGTTTGTCAAAACACTACACACAATTAACACAACCCTACACCAAATCCTTCTCCTCCTCTGTGTACTCCTCCTCTCACCCTCACTCTTCTTCTGACTCCTTCCATTTTGGTTGAAGGCAGGTGAACCTACCTGCTGCATTTTTATAGTGCTTAAACCTGATTGGTGTGTCTACAATTTAGCAATCATGTGTTTGTGCACCTGATGGCTGTGTTTAACAGATTGGCTCATAGGTGTGGTAATTTGACAGTCAGTGCTTTGGAATTGCAAGGAAGTGACATCATGATATACTTCTGTGTCTGATGTATACAAGTGTGTTTAGTGTTTTGCAAATCACTGTGTGTAATGTTTTGCAAATAGTGTGAAGCTGACAATGTGCTTACAGTTGTGCAAATCTAGCCTTGTGTTTTGCTCCTTGAGTGTAAGGTTTTGCTAATTGTTGGAAAAGTTTAATTTTAGTGTGTAAGCAATCGTAAAAAACTGTAATGTGAATGACAGAGGAAGGCTTTAATATTAATGTTGTCCACTGGAGGGAGCAACAGGGTAAGCAACCCTTTTCTCACAGGTCTCAGTTTTTCATCTCATAGTTTGGCATCAGTGTAAATTGTTCAATTAAAGAAAAAAACATCTACAACCATGGTGCATAATTAGTTGATATGTGATCTTATTGATCATTAAATTTACTGTTTAAATTTGATATACAATGATACTCAATACATGTTTGTTGCCAGACACAACTGATCTGCTGTTCAATTAAAATGAAGAGTCAATATAATTTTTTTCTTTTAATACAATATTTGTGTAAAGACACATTATATTAGAAAAGATCCACAATGGCACATTGCATTACTTTATAAACTGGTTTATGGCATAATGCAGATGAAGTTTGTGCCATTTATAATTTTGTGTCTGTGCTTGATTATTTTCACTTGGGTCTACTTATATGGTGTATTAAGGATTATAGCAGGTGTTAACAGTGATTAACAACTAATAGTACAAACTAGAAACCAATAAAGCTAATTTAAATAGAGAGAATAACCAGCCTGTCACACCCCGGCAGCAGGGCCTAGTAGACTAACTTACTGCTGACTTCATGTGTTTGCTTGAGGGCAGCAGCGCTGTCACACCCAAACCAAAGGCTCAGTTTTATGTGTCCCTATAGCAATTGCATATGTATGTAATCATAAATACTAGTTAAATAAAAATCTATTAAAGAAATATACGCATGACAGATAGTCAGATATATAGATCTGTGAACTATATAGACAAAAGTATTGGGACACCTGACCTTACACCAACAGGGACTTTAATGACATTGTATTCTAAATACATAGACATTAATATGGAGTTGCTCCTGCTTTGCCGCTTTAACAGCTTCAACTCTTCTGGGAAAACTTTACATGAGATGTTGGAGTGTTTCTGTGGGATTTTTGCACATTCATGCAGTAGAGCATTTGTGAGGTCAGATACTGATGTTGGATGAGAAGGCCTGGTTCGGGATCTCCGTTCCAGTTCATCCCAAAGGTGTTGGATGGGGTCTGAGATCTGTGCAGCCTGTCGAGTTCTTCCACACCAAACACTGATTTGTGCATATGCTGGAACAGAAAAGGGACTTCCCCAAACTGTTCCCACAAAATGTCTTGGTATGCTAAAGCATTAAGATCCCTATTCTCTGGAAGTAAGTCACACCCCTGAAAACAGCCCCATACCATTATCCCTCCTCCAACAAACTTCACCAAACACCTGTCCCAATGCAGTCAGGCAGGTAACGTTCTCCTGGCATCTGCCAATCCCAGAGTCACCCATCAGACTGTGTGATTGGTCACTCCACAGAGCAGGTTTCCACAGCTCCAGAGTCCAGTGTCTGCGTGCTTTACTCACTCCATCCCACGCATGGCATTGTACTTGGTGACTTGCATGCAGCTGCTCAGTCATGAAAACCTGTTCCATGAGTCTCCCGCCACACAGTTTGTGTGCTGATTTTAATGCCAGTGGAAGTTTGTAACTCTTCAGCTTTGGAACCAGCAGAGTGTTGATGGCTTTTACATACCATTCGCCGCAGCACTCGGTGACACTCGGGCACTGGTAAAGACAGTAAGGACCGTACCTCACTACACACTGGCAACTCTATTTCCGGCAATAGACTGGTCACGTGTAAAATGTCACCAACATCTGACAGGATAGATCTCAATTTTTGATGTTAAAATACATTATTAAAAAAATAAATAAATATTTGATTATTTAATTGTTCTGTTTTGCAACATTTCAGGTGAATATTAATTACAAATGTTCACAAGAGTGCTACATTATGCTTATGTTGAAAGATAATTATTAAATGTTTAATTTAACGTATTAATTTCTTATTATTGTATTATTATTTGCCTTGCTCTTGCTTTACCTGCTCAAGGTTTTATGTTGTTTCAGGCTGATAGTAGACTTTAGTTAATGCAGTTTTGGGTACCAGACAAGACTTGTTGTAAACTGGTTTTGGATAATAGATAAAACGGATGTCATCTGACCTATTCATAAACATTATCACAGACCAATAACTGTTCAGCTGCCCAAAGCATCCTTCATTATACGGCTAAGCTAAGCCATCACTGGTCAGCACTAAGTGTGCATCACATACTCCTCTTCATTTTCATTTCAATTCAACAAATGCTTTTGAGCTCAAATGATTTATCAAATGGATGAAAAATATCAAGCTATGACTTTAACACATTTTATTATTGCACACAAATCCATTGCATTACTGTGATAAGGCAGTACAATATATACAGTTTATATATAGTTGCCTTCAGAAAGTATTGTTACACCATCACATTTTAATAATGAAATGTTTTTTCACACGTCAATAACAATAAATGCAAAACTTTCACAAATCAAAGAAAAAACTATTAAAATTACCTATTTGGCAATGAGAAATAAAAAGGGAATCGATACTTTCTGAAGGCACTATATATTTATAATGTGTTGAATATTTGAACCCAAAAACTGAAACCTGCCCACTAAAACATTCAGAAACTAGCAGCTGTAACATCAAGCAAATCTGATCAAATCATCACACCTGTCAGGAATCCATATATGGGTTCGTCCTGTTTTCACACAGAATAACCTTATATTATGGCAAGCAAACATGAACGCACAGACAGAAGATAAACGTGTGTAAATATTCCAGCTAAATATGTTTTTGAGTACTGTAACAGAGAAATCACGAAATAAATGTCCAAATCAACAAACTCGTATGGCTATTATCACATACAGTTTCTGCAGCACTGTAGAGAGAGGTGATTTTTGAATGTTGCATCCCGTTCAGTCTACGAGTCAGAATTCAGCACAAAACGCTCCCATCTTCTTGCACTCGCTTGCTTTCTTCCTCCGTTTCATGCAACCTTTGTGTTCTCAACGTACCACATAGTGGCTTGCACATCAAGTACAAAAATATATTTCTATTGACAAGAGCAAACGTCAGTAAATATTAGTTATCTGCAGACAGATCTGTGGGGTGTTCAGAGTTACTAACTGTTCAGTCGAGTTACTCGTATAAGCGTTTAACATCACATCACACATGGGAGTAGATGCCTTACAATGTCTAAACACACAATGATACTGTTTCTGCTTTTCTCGTTTAAAATCAAATACTTGAAGACAGAAGAACCGTTTGTGTTCAAACATTCGAAAAAGGACTCTCGTAACCAAGACTAGTTCATGTTCAGGCACATACACTAGCATAAAGGTGAAGTGTGTCATTTCTGCTCTTTCGCCCATGTTTGTCACTGATCGCTTCTCAACATGCAACTGGCAGGAAAGTCTCTTAGTGACAGACAAATAACACACTTCACCTCTGAAGATTGAACGACACAGAAAACACAAGCACTGATTGAGAGGACAGACGTCTCATCCGTAGTTGTAGGTGAAGTTGTAAGTGCTGGGCTCTTTGGGCACAGGGGGAGGAGCCTCAGGGATGGTGATGTTCTCCAGGTCGAGGAGGCGGAGCTTCATTTCCATGCTCATTAATGTGTCAAGGTCACTTCGTGTGAGATCGCTGCCCAACTCCTTCCCCAAGAGCGCAGACAGTCCATCTGTCCAGATGCAGTACTGATCCACACAAACAAACGTCACTCATCTTTCTACAAATGACACATTTTTACCAATAAAGTGTAAAATGCCATATTCAAACACCACAGTCTACTGTAGTCTCTGTGGACTCAAGGCCTGTAGTGTCCCGCACTTGTCCTCGAACTCTTGCAGGTCCGACAGAACTGTGACTTAAGTGCTGTTTTTGAGACTCACCTCGTATTTGTTGGTTGCCACAAAGTTGAGAGCCTCATCGGGATCATAGCGGATGGAAAACGCCAACTCTAACACTTCCTACAAACGCAGCACCATTCAAACACCTCAGTCATGCATGTATTACCATATTAACATGTCTGCTTCATAAATGCATTATTTAATAATGATGATTAGGTCAGTGATTAATTGTTTATGCAGGCAGGCAGGCTTTGAAAAAAGACATTAAAAAAGAGTTTCATGTCAAATCTTTATCAGTTCTGTTCAATAATGCGCTGGCGAAGATGAAGTAAGTGGTTTTACCTTGTTCTGTTTGAGCGCGCTCTTCTCCTTCATGTGTGGACAGTCTTTCCCTGTCAGCACCGCTTTAATGTCCGACACGGGAACTGTGGGTCAGTGACAGTAAGTTTGCGCAACACATGATGTGAAAACTAGTCAGTGGTTTTCTATCACATAAGTGCACTCACTCGTATCGGTGAGCAGTTCAAACGGCACTTCGCCCTGTGGAGACTCGTCCAGATCGCCGTAGTGCAGGACCTTGTGATTCAACGACAGACGGCAGAACCAGAACTTCTCTGTGAGAGGAACCAAAGACCATTAGACACTCCAACAAGAGAAAACTCGCATTAGAGACTAATACGGCAGAAGCGGCTGTCTTGGGCGGATGTGAGCACCTTGTCTCCGTCTGTTGGCGAGTTTGCGAAAGCAGCTTCCCTCACACAGACGACTGAGTCGCTGCTGTTTGATCAGCTCCAGAATCTCCGGCTGGATCCGCTCACGCAGCTCACTGACAATCAAGAGAACACACACTTGAGACCAGCTGATCCTCACGCTCAGATAAACTCATACGAACATTTGGATTGGTCGGTCGCTCCTCCTCAGTACGTTTGTCTTGTTTTCCAGAGCAATTGTCTAAAGATTCTTAAATCAAGATATATTTAGTGGAGAAGCAAAATGACAGAAGATAAGTCTTGTTTTCCGTGAAACTGGTCAAAATGAAGTGAGTTTATGATTATAACAAGAACAAGTATCTGCCAATGAGCTCAGAAAAATCAACTTAACTCAAAAGTAATTTTCATCATAACCCACTGACAGATATTTGTGACCCGTGCAAAATGAGTCAAAATGCGCACGGGCTAATTTTGAGCTACACGCAATAAAATGAAAAATGCAGATTTTAGTCGAATTTGAGGTTTTCACAAAAATGAGTTCATTAAGCCCTCGTCTAGCGATCCCAATGCTTCAAATAGTAATTAAACATCTAAAATGATCTTTATTCGTACGCTTTCTGAGAGGAGTACCTTTTCTCCGCTCGTTCACGATCCGCTGTATCACGATCCCGATACATATACAGAGAATTACAGTACAGTATACAGAGAACATGTCTTAAGTGAACGTTTGGGGAACTGTTAGGGAAAAACATCTGATGTGTAACATTATATTAGATCCGTGTATTACAGTAGCTCTTAATATATATTCCGTCTGTCTCATTAATGTTAATCTAACAATAAAAGAAAAGAGGGAATCACTCGCTGCTATTGATTGAACTGCTTTTGTTGTTTCAGTAATCAGTTTATTTGTAATGAACACACTAAAGGGATTTTTACTTTTTTTGTTTGCATCTGTTCTTTTTTATAATAACAAAAAAAAAAGCTATATTGTGATTATTAATATAGTAATTATTATTAAGAAAAGAACTGGAGGAAAAGATGCAATTTTGCAGGTGATTTTGCTTTGGAACCTTCAGAAAACTTTAACTTGATTTTTCTCATAAATGACTTTGCTGACTCTATCGACTTCAAACGGCTGTAGCTCAGTCATTTTTCGTCCGATTCCAACAAATCATACATCATTTTTGAAGGTCTAACAATAAAAATAACAAATTTTTGTGACTCATTTTGCCAGCACAGGTCACATTTGTTCCCGCTTTACGAATAAACTTGCTTCATTTTGTTCAGTTTCTCAGAAAACAAGACTTGATTTCTTCATTTTGCATCTCTAGTATCTTGATTTAAGGATGTTAAGATATTTGTATTGGAAAACAAAACCACTGAGAAAAAACATCATTTTTGTAGTGCATGCAAGATTTAATGCCATGACAACTAATTTAATACTTTCTGCTCTGATTTAAGACCTTTTTAAGGCTTTAAACTGTGGAAGGACAGACCTTTTTAAGACCCACAAAAACCCTGTCATGAGAAACTTGATGCTTCTAATCACAGGTCAAGAGCTGTAGGTCCCACCACACAACTTTAAAAATCATAAAGACTTATCATTTTGTTTAATTTCCTTCAAAAGACCTCAGGTGCATTAGTGGTTTATAACTAAATGATTGACTGATTGGGAGACTCTTGATCTTGAATAAATGATCAATAAATAAAATGAAATGAATAAATGATCTATCTCTCAGATAGATCTTGGAGAAGTGAGGTGTCCAAGTCACAACATCTAGTTACTGGGGTGCCTCAGGGCTCAGTTCTTGGACCACTTCTCTGTCTACATGGCATCACTAGGTTCTGTCATTCAGAAACATGGCTTTTCATATCACTGCTATGCTGATGACACTCAACTCTACCTCTCATTCCATCCTGATGATCCGACGATAGCTGCTCGCATCTCAGCTTGTCTAACAGACATTTCTTGCTGGATGAAGGACCATCACCTTCAACTCAACCTGGCTAAGACAGAACTGCTTGTGGTTTCAACAAACTCATCACTTTATCAAAATTTCACCATCCAGTTAGGCTCATCAACCATAACTCCTTCAAAAACAGCTAGAAACCTTGGAGTTATGATTGATGATCAGGTGACTTTCTCAGACCACATTGCTAAAACTGCCCGGTCCTGCAGATTTGCTTTATACAACATTAGGAAGATCAGGCCCTTTCTTTCAGAACATGCTTCACAACTCCTTGTTCAAGCTCTTGTTCTGTCCAGGCTGGACTATTGCAATGCTCTCTTGGCAGGTCTTCCAGCCACTTCTATCAAACCTCTACAATTAATCCAGAACGCGGCAGCAAGATTAATCTTTAATGAGCCGAAAAATAATGCACATCATACCTCTGTTTATCAGTTTGCACTGGCTACCAGTAGCTGCTCGCATAAAGTTTAAGGCATAATGTTTGCCTACAAAACCACCACTGGCTCTGCACCCATTTACCTAAATTCATTACTTCAGAGTTATGTGCCCTCTAGAAGCTTGCGTTCTGCAAGTGAACGGCGTATTATTGTGCCATTTCAAAGAGGCACAAAATCACTTTCACAGACTTTTTCCTTAACTGTTCCCTTCTGGTGGAATGACCTGCCCAAATCAATCCGAGCAGCTGAGTCCTTAGCCATCTTCAAGAAACGACTAAAAACACACCTGTTCCATCTTTATTTGACCCTCTAACTCTAGCACTTTCTATTCTATTTTAATTCTACTCTAATTATCTTTTTTTTATTTAAAAAACTAACACTAGCTTTCTATATTTTCTATTCTATCTACTTGTTTTTCTTTTTGTGTGTGTGTGTGTGTGTGTGAGTATATATATATATAACCTTGCTACGTGTACTGCGTTAGGCTAACCCGTTGCTGTTGTTGCTGTTTTGTTAGTTTTGATTGCTTTTATTGTCCTCATTTGTAAGTCGCTTTGGATAAAAGCGTCTGCTAAATGACAATGTAAATGTAAATGAGACTTGACTCACATTATAGGGGGTGACTGGAAGTCGTCCTGACTCATTCTCTCAGACTGACGCAGACGCAGGATCTCCGAGTAGCTCAGACTGCGCAGTTTGACCCGCAGCTGCTCCAGAGATGGCGGTTTCATGGCCAGAGCTCTAGTGATCTGTTCTCGCACCACCGTCATCACCTACAATTTGAGTTGAATTACTGAAATAAATGAACTTTTCCACGACATTCTAATTTATTGAGATGCACCTGTAGTGTTCACTGACACAAACACACACACATGAAACCGTTTCTCCTCTAGCAGACACACTCACTAACACACACCTTGTTGAAATCTTCTGCAGTGGCCCTCATTTCTTTCCACGTCTTATTGAGCAGCTGTATGCAGACGCAGAAGAACTCTTCCCAAGCGCGCTCGTGGGTAAAAAACATGGGATGGAAGTCGTTGCACCCTTCATTCGCTGGAGAGACAAGACAAGACAAGCCTCTCTTTATGTGACCGATGCAGTATGTCACAGAAACACACACGCTATAGAAACATTTGTCACAGTTCAACCTAAAAATGTAACAAAACTGGATATTGGATGACACCAATAAGAATCCATTTTTAACAGTACAGGTCAAATTTAGATGAAATAAAATAAACATGAACTGAAATAAAATAAAATAAAATATAAAAACTTAAACTTATTTTATCTCAGTTATATGTCTCATTTTTATTTAGTTCCCCTGGGGTTGTATGGATTACGGCAGAGGTCTTCAACCCTGCTCCTGGGGACCCACCGTCCTTCTTCAGCACACCTGCCTGTGTATTTTCAAGTTATCCTGGAAATCTCAATTAGCTGGTTCAGGTGTGTTTGATTAGGGTTGGAGCTGAACTCAGGTGGGAATCGCTCTGGATCTCCTCTAAAGCTGCTCTCTAACGGACCCTCCGAACACAGTTCAACTCATTGCAGAATACTTACGCAGTTCTCCAACCTGTAGAATATCACACAGCACGCGCGTCAGCTCAATGGCAGAGCGACCAAATGGACACTCGTGTTTATCTTCTCGACTGCTGTTTTCTAGAACAATCTGAAAAACAAAAGCACAGTATGTACAGGCCATTGACATTTTATTATTATATTTTTTATCAATAGGAGAGGTGCAAGAGGACATAGGAAACAGAAGGAAGAAGATGAAGGGGCACCACATGTACCACAGCAAAAAAATGGACTTGGTTCCTTGAATAGTTCCCTGAAAAGCGATACAAGATATATAAAAGGTCATCTGGGACTAACACCCCTGTAATTCTATCATATTCTTCGACCTTCCAATGAGGATGAATATTTTCTGATGGAACTCCCATTTCTTTATTTAACATTTATTGCTGTCCATAACAACTTACAACTACATGGCATTTGTGTCTGATATGTCTGCCTGAAGCCACCAGAGGGTGCAATCACCTGAGTTTAGGCTACATTTACATTCAGTCTTTAAGTCTGTTTGTCATTTTTGATCTAATGTCTGTTCTCTCCATTTCTGTTTAGTCTTGTCATTTAGATTTTACCCCTGGATTGATTACTGTGCCTGGTTTTGGCCTCATACACGTCTTTTTGTATGGTTTCTTTAGGATTTGTCTTTGTTTCCTGATCTTTTTGATAAAACTTCAGCAAAAGCAGCCCCCAGCATGATCTATACCCAGCTCTCTTACAAAATGAGGGAAAATATAAACATTTAATGTGTTTGGTAAAATACTGAAGCTGTAATGAAACTTCTCTAATCAAACTAAGAGTGGAAAGTTATAACAAGACATTGTTACAGAAACTGTTCTGGGATTGTGTGATTTTGTTCATTCACACTTCCAGAGTTTCCCCGTGTTCTGTGCTTTCATTCACACACATCCTGAACTGTCCCATTAAGTCAAAGTGATCACAATGTGACATCTAACATACTCACAGAGAAGCCCTGTTTATTAGGTTTTGTGTTATACTCTTGTAAATAACTGCAGTGCATGATACCACTAAGCTTGCCATTCAATTTTATTGTCTGCATGAATGGTAAGTAGCTCCCTGGGGCCCGTTCTTCGTACGTCGCTAACTCAGTTAGCTGGATTTGATTGTTGATGATTTGGCATGATCTTGGATTGTTTGGTTCTTCTAAGCTCAACCCGGAGTTGCTGTCATAGCAACAGGTCCGTAAGCTTAAACCTGCTCGGGAGCAGCTTATTTCATTGTAAAAAAATAAAATAAAATAAAAACAGTGCACATTTCATGTATCTATTATAACATTTATGTAGTTTTGTTCGCTTGGCTGTTTCCTTATAAAAGTCCAGAAATTTGTCAAGTTTTTCGTCAGGTGTCTTTTTTAATTATATGATGTCATTACGTATCATTTTGTATTCGACATTGTAGTCGACATTATGTATCGATATTCGAAACCACGATCAGCAATGCAGTGATTGGCTGGGGGCCCCTTTTAAACAAACCCATGAACGCGCAATTATCTCAGATAACTCAATCCAGCCATACTAATCATCAACAACAGGTGCGTTCGAAGAACCGAATTAGCCAGATCCTGATTAGTGCGGTGATATCATCTTGGATGTGACATTTCATCTCAGATGTAATAAGCGACATATGAAGAACGGGCCCCTGGTCCTCTTATGACTTTTGTTTGCAGCAATTGTTATTCCCTTTTTTCTGTTTTTGTCCATATACAATCTTTTTCCTTCACCTTCCCCTAGTCAAACAGTCATATGATTGTCAACAATTAACTTTATCACAATGACACGCATCCTACCGGCATCAGCTCTGACTCTATTCAAACAGACGTGCTGTAGTGTGCCAGTAATGTTACCCGGGAACTCTTTTTTCAGCATTACAGATCTGGCTTTGATTCACTCAGATGACTGTCTGATAATAATTATATAATAAGATTAGAATAATACAATATTATAATGCATTATTATTATTATTCTAGTATTGTTATTATAGATGACCATGTTTTACATAATTACTTTTACTCAACAGTTACAAAGAGGGCACAATGCTTGAGAAAATACTTAGAAAACAAGAGATGACAGTTATGAATGTGTGTTCTTACTCTGATATATGTGTCCTGATGCACTTTGGCAAGGTAAAGCATGTTGTCTAGTGCCAACATTCCCGGTGGTGTCTGAGTGAAATCCATGGCAGGATTCACAGGATTCTGTGCACAAAACACAATACACACATCAGCACATCACTATCACCAATCATCATCAAACCATCACATCACATCAGCACATCACCATCATTGATCATCATTAAACCGTCATCACATCCCACACATCAACACACCACTATCACATCACATCAGCACATCACCATCACTGATCATCATTAAACCATCAACACATCACGCACATCAGCACATCACTATCACCAATAATCATCAAACCATCACATCACATCAGCACATCACCATCACTGATTATCATTAAACCATCATCAAATCACACACATCAGTGCATCACTATCACAGATCATCATTAAACCATCACATCACACACATCACCACATCACTATAACAGATCACCATTAAACCATCACATCACACACATCATCACATCACTATAACAGATCATCATTAAACCATCACATCACACACATCATCCCATCACTATAACAAATCATCATTAAATCATCACATCACACACATCACCACATCACAGATCATCATTAAACCATCATCACATCACACACATCATCACATCACTCACTATCACAGATCATCATTAAACCATCATCACATCACACATCAGCACATCACTATAACTGATCATCACTGAACCATCACATCACTCACATCACTATCACTGTTCATCACTTAACCATCACATCACACACATCAGCACATCACTATCACTGTTCATCATTAAACCATCATCACATCATACACATCATCACATCACTATCACCGTTCATCATTAAACCATCATCGCATCATACACATCATCACATCACTATCACTGTTCATCATTAAACCATCACATCACACACATCATCACATCACTATCACTGATAATCACTTAACCATCACATCACGCACATCACAATCACTGATCATCATTAAACAATCATTACATCACATCAGCACATCACAGTCATCTATCATCATTAAACCATCATCATATCACACATCAGCACATCACTATCACTGATCATCATTAAACCATCATCATATCACGCACATCAGCACATCACTATCACTGATCATCACTTAACCATCACATCACACACATCATCACATCACTATCTCTAATCATCGTTAAATAATCATCACATCATCACATCACTATCACTGATAATCACTTAACCATCAATCACATCACTATCACTGATCATCACCTAACATCACATCACTATCACTGATCATCACCTAACATCACATCACTATCACTGATCATCACCTAACATCACATCACTAACATCAGCACATCATCACTGATAATCATCTAACATCACATCACACACATCATCACATCTCTATCACTGTTCATCATTAAACCATCACATCACACACATCACAATCACTGATCATCACTAAACCATCATCACATCACACAAATCATCACATCACTATCACTGATCATCATTAAACATCACATCAAATCACACACATCATCACATCACTATCTCCGATCATCATTAAACCATCACATCACATCACTGTCACCTATCAACATTAAACCATCATCACATCACACATCAGCACATCACTATCACTGATGATCATTCAATAATTTTGAAATTACATGAGCAAACACTCATCACTCACAGTGAAGCCCAGCACCTTGTAGTCTTTAGTGTAGATTGCTTTCCTCTTTTCTGTTCCGCTGGGATCACTGTCTCCATCAAACACGATTCTTCTGAGTTCAAAGATGATATCTCTTTGTGTCTAAATATACGAGAGGTCAGAATATAACAAGAATATAATTTTAGGACATAATTCAAGCTGTCTAAATAAGCTACAAGAACACAACTTTCCCAAGTATCTTGGTAAATGTTGAAGACAATTCAGCAATGTTTTGCATTTTATGCCATGAGTATGCTGGGTCAAACAGTGGCTATGAGTATACCTGAAAGTTCAAGTAAGGGACATTCTACACTCAGTCAGTTAGTCAAGTTCCATCATTACCAATGTTCAACAGTTTACTGTTTTCCAAAATTGTAGTTCTAAAAAATATTCACAAATAGCATAATAAAGTTGGAAACAGCAGCTTTCTACATGTGGTTAGAAGCATAGTTTCTTTTTAGTATTACATGTAGATCTACAACTTGCTCTCACATTTATTCCCATATTACGGAAATCTGCACATGACATGCAGAAAAAAAATCATGTTTATGATTTAAGAAAAAGTCTTTGTTTTTTTGTGGCCGGCTGCAATTACTCTGCACAAAATTAAAAAAAAGAGAGAAAGAAATGAAAAAACTGCCTACTGATGCTTCACTCTGCAAATAGTTAACACTTCTGCTCTGCATAAATGAAATTGTCAACCCAATGAATACATTTATTCACTTGAACCATACATCCTGTCCCCTCCATTAATCTTAATGTCAAGTCAAACATTTTCAGACATTTGTCAATCACTTGCCTGGTCATTCGGGTCCATTTTTGTCATCATGCGTTCTTCCAGAAGGTTGAAGGTCAAAACCTGCAGCACGTACAGCTGATGTGCCATTTCAGCTTTGACTGGTCGATTCCCCCGGATGATGTGCTAGAAGACAAGTTTAAAATGAAAGACCGTCAATGCTTTCACTCACAGGGTTGTTTCCTATAACAACACTCTCATTATCACACTGCTCCTGAAGAACTATAAACTGATGTTTCTACACACACATCTGCTGGGAGGAAGTTCTATGAAGACAGATCTGATCTGTATTCCATCAAAAGATGCTCAATAACGATGGATCTTAGCTCTTAAGAGTGCTCTCTACGTGCAAGGTTACAAACGTTCGCCGCAATTCCACGTGCGTTTCCCAAAAATACACTTAAAATGAACACGTGAGAACACGTTCTACGTGCTACTTCAGAGTCGCTGTCCGTTTGTCAAATGCTGAAATATTACCTTACAGAATTGTATCCTTGAACCTAATAGTCGTCACCTTATGTGGATTAAAAAAAAAAACTTTCAAAAAGATTAAATTAATGTTCTTCTTGAGGAGGTAGAGCGAAACAAAAATGTCATTTTCAGCAGATTTAAAAGACACCATACAAATAAGGAAAAACAAAACATATGGGAGGACTTTGCTACAAAATTAACTGCACAGGGGTGTTAAAAGATCAGGGAAGGAGGTCTGTAAGAAGTGGCAGGACTTTGCAAGCTTGGCAAAAAGGAAGGGCACTGCATGGATGGCAATAAAAAAAAAAACAGGTAGTTGGACCAACGACTCCCCCCTTCTCACAGCAGAGGAAGAAAAGACCTTTGTGGTGTTATTGACCTCCATGGAGGAGTAGGGATGCCTCAACCTGAGCCTGAGTCAGGTCCGTCATGCTCAGAGGCACTATCAGTTTCACCAGCAATCTCCTAGTCCTCCAAACAGCCCTCTCAGGCCTCAGCCTCCATCTTCAGTTGTCCAGACCGCAGCCACAACACCTCAGCAGTTTGAGAATGTCTGTGGTTTTAGTCAGGACTTAGTGCAGCTGGAGAGATGTTTGAAAGACATTAGACAATGTCTCAAAGAGGCTAATAAGAGGAACGACTATTTTCAACAGCAGCTTATTGACCTCAAGAAGGCCAAGCTGGCTTTAGGGGAGAGGAGACTTACACTGAAGGAGATGAGGTTTGCAAGGCCCTCCATTTCTGTGCCAATTATCTTGCCAGAACAGTCAGGTAATATGATTGTTTTATGGTGATTAAATTAAGTTTCTATAATTTCTTGTGCAATGTGAAATGTTTTCTTTATGTACAGTGCCGTGAAAAGGTTTTTGCCCCCTTCCTGAAAAAAACAGGAAGGGGGCAAAAACTTTTTCACACCACTGTAGTTATTTCTCATCCCATTGTGCAATGTCTTTTGCAGGTCCTGAGTAACTCAGTCAATAACTCAAATCAATAAAACTATGTTGATCCAATGTTTTTGATGTCCATGTGTTTGTTGAACCACCCAAGGCCTAAGGCCCTATAAAATACTATAAGAATTCTTATGAGTTCTTTCAGGTGTTTCTGAAGTGAATGACCAATGGTTGGTTATTTTCAAACATAAACATGTCATTTTAGATATTATTAAAATATAAAGTTTATATATCAAAGGTGACAGTAGCACAAATATATGTACTTCATCTAGCCAATACATTTCTATAGGTACAGACAAAAAGGTTTATTGCAGACATGTATTATCAGCACTATTCTATGCATACATATTTATGATATCATGTGCATTTTTATTTGTTCATTCTTTCCCTTTTCTTTTAAATTATTTCATTTATAAATTAATAAAAAAGAATTTATATTAATAAAGTAATAAAGAGAAGTACAATCAAAACCTTATATCATAATCACATTGCACTTGAATAAACTTAAAGGTGTAATCTGCCGGTTGTCCTGCAGGTGACCGCATAACTCTGTCTTCTTATGATGCACTGAGGGCTTTACGATTACTCCAGAGCACTGGTAGATCTACGATGATTTTCAAGTGCTACTTAAAGGAGACATACAGGCAGAAAGAGCGTTTTTCAAGAGTTCATAAGACACTTGCAGTTTATCTTTCTTCCATTTGCGCTCAGCTTTCCTACATTCCAGTCTGAGAACTCGTATATTACTATGTATCCAAGGTTCTGACCTTCGTTTGAGTTTTGAAACTTTAAAAGGAGCAACAGAATCTAAAACACAAGAGCAGGCATTATTAAAAAGCGTTATCATCTCTTCTATTCCAAGATCTGAGTCAGGAAGTTTTAACACACTTTCAGACAGAGAAGAGAAGGCCTCAGAGAAAAGACTGGCTGTATCAGAGGTGACAACACGAGAAACAGACCGTGAGGAAAGTGATTTCTGAACTGGACCAGACATTGTGATATTAAAAATAATAGGCTTATGGTCAGATACAAAAAAATCGGAAATATCAACATTATGTACAGAAATGCCATAAGATAAAATCAGATCCAGTGTGTGGCCATGGTTATGAGTAGCGCCAGAAATATGCTGTGTAAGATTAACAGAGTCAATGAGCTGAATAAAGTCCCTAACTGTTTTGCTCAAACTTTCACCATGGCATTAGAGCTGGTACACCGTTGTGGCTTGTGAAAACACAATGACGGCGCAGTGGGTGGAAACTTACAGATTAATATTATAATGAGATCCCTTTGCCACGTCACCAAGTGAGCAAAATCAAACGCGCTCGTTTTCTCAGACGCTTGCAGAAAAAGGCTTCCCAAAACAAAGTTACTGGGTTAATCTTTTTCACGTTTCCTTGGTTGGTAGATGCACCGTGGACCTGATTATAGCACTTAAAACCTGGAAAAGTCAGATTTTCATGATATGTCACCTTTAAGTTATGATGCTTTTGAGAAATGCAGCCCAGTTTAGTAAATCTGGCCCAGTAGACATCTGTCATTACCTAGTCAACTCAGTTAAGTTTCACTTTTTCCCCCTCACTTTATTTCTACATTTTCAAGTATTTCAAAATTTCCAAAATACAGTTTAAATAATATTTTAACATGACAATATATAAAACAGATCAGAATAAAAATAATAAACTATCAATATAAAAGATACAATCAATTATCCCAAGTAGTTAAGCACAATTAGTTGCCAACTTGTATGACAAAATTAAACAACTGAATCAGACATAAATATCAATATAAGTGTGGTCATCCACTGGGGGAAAATTAAATCAAATCATTATTTTCAATTAAACAGGGGGGTATACATTCCATATACTCAAGAAAAGAGCTCCACATTTTATAGGAGTTCTTGGAAGAGTCCCTCAGTGAATGCCTATTTTTTTCCAGTTTGATAAAGTGAAAAATCTCTTTAATCCACATTGAGTGGGTAGGAGACATTAAAATGATTTTCAATGCATTAGAATCAAAGGTCTAGCCAGGAGGGATACAAAGGCCACAAAGTCTACCTTGTAACCAAGGTGATGAACTGGTAAGAGAAGTGTACCGGAGAGTGCTGTTATCGTTACGGGTTTGATGGTTGTTCCAACTACCTGAGATATTGTCTCAAATATTTGAACCCAATAACCATTTAAATTTAGGCAGGACCAGAGCACATGTGCCAGGGTTGCGTGACCCTGATAGGATCAACATCAGAGTACATTTTAGTGAGTAAGACCTTAGTACAGTGAATGCAATGGAGTATTTTGCATTGGATCCAACCATGATTGGCACACAAAGATGAAGAATGTATAAGATACTTTCCCATAATTCATCTGGAATATCTTCTGATAGGTCTTCTTCCCACTGAGGTTTTATAGATGTCAATGAACTTCTATGTAGGGAACATATTTTCTCATAAATATATTAAATCATCCCTTTCCCAATAGATATCGGTTCAAAGAATGAGACCAAGGGAGTTGTAGTGGGGAGACTAATCGAAAGCTTATCTGAGAGTTGTTGAAAGGATGCAAAAACATCATCTATATAAATTTTTAAACACTGATATGCCGTATGTTGCCCATTGGGAAAAGGTCCTGTCCATCATTGATGGTGAGAAAACAAAATTTGATGCTATGGGGGCAGCCATAGAAAAAAGCTTGTAATCCAAAATGGCGCCTAAACTGTCTCCAGACTTGCAGTGAATTGGTAAAGAGAGGTAAAGAGAGAATATGAACTGTTAATAGGGGAATGTAGCAGGGCTGTTCATGTAGTGGGCAGACACGAGGCTACTTCCATGGCAAGCCACATGGGTAAACACTGAGACTGAGTTGGTTTAGTCAATATTGAAAGTTAGTAGCTTAGTAGTAATATTGAAAGTTGGGCAACGCCATCCCTCCAAGAGACTTGGGTCATTGAAGAAGTGTTTTACGAATTCTAGCAGTCTTTTTATTCCAAATAAACTCTGAAACGAATCCATTGAGTCTCTAAAAAAAGGAGGTAGAAAAACGGGGATACATTGAAACAATGAAGATAATTTTGGGAGGGTATTCATTTTTACAATATTAATTCTGCCAGCTATGGATAACAGAAGCACCGACCATCTTTCAAAGTCTTTCTGAACTTGGAGCAGTAGATTATCAAAGTTAAACTTAAAACGATCTTAAAATCTATTGGTTATCAAAACCCCAATGTATTTAAATCTACCCTGTGCAATTTTAAATGGCAAAGTATGTAAGGGGTATTTTTTGGCAGCTGAGATTAGTGGGAAAAAAATCACTTTTGGCTAGATTTAGTTTATAGCCCGAAATTAAGCCAAATGATTGTAAAGTATTAGGAACCGCAGGAACTGACATTAAAATCTGAAATATACAGAAGATCATCTGCGTACAGTGAGACCTTCTGCTCTATATCTATTCTTGTTATTCCTTTTATTAACGGGTTAACCTTTAAAGCAGTGGAAAGAGGTTCGATGGAAATAGCAAACAGAAGTGGGCTCAAGGAGCATCCATGACGAGTGGATCTGTGGAGGTTAAAGTATTCAGAGCGAGAATTATTAGTTCTAACTGAGGCCTGGGGAGCAGAGTACAACAGTTTTACTCATGAAATGAATCTTTCACCAAGACCGAATTTCTTTAAAGTATAAAAAATGTATCCCCATTCTACCCGATCAAATGCTTTCTCAGCATCTAGTGATATTACAGCTTTCGGGGTAGAAGGGGAAGAAGAATTAAATACCATGTTACATAATCGTCTGATATAAAAAAAAAAGAATGTCTACTCTTAATAAAACCAGTCTGATCTGAAGATATAATCGAAGGTAATATAGATTCCAGTCGCAATGATAACAGTTTTGATAACAAAGTCGACATTAAGTAAACCAACAGGCCGATACGAGGAGCATTCCAGAGGGTCTTTATTCTTTTTTAGGATCAGGGACATTGAGGCTTGATTAAGTGTTTGAGGAAGTTTTACTAACTTAAAGGGGTCATATGATGCGGTTTCAAGTTTTCCTTTCTCTTTGGAGTGTTACAAGCTCTTGATGCATAAAGAAGAGCTGTAAAGTTGCAAAGACTAAAGTCTCAAATCCCTCATTTATTATGGGTTTTCATGTTTTTGAATCATCGCTCCAGTCGGACAGGGCATCACAGTATGGTAAGGGGTGTAACATTTCCGTCACACGCTTGAGCTTTTCGGCCAATCACAACGCACTGGATAGTTGGTTAATCAGAGCACACCTCGCTTTTCAGACCGATTAGTTTTGTAAAAATCGACGCGTTTCAGAAAGGCGGGGCATAGAGGAGAAACAATAATGTACAGTATGTGGAAAATAATGTGTTTTTTTAACCTTAAACCGCATAAACACATTTCATTACACCAAATACACAAAATAATGTTCTTTTTAGCAGCATCATATGACCCCTTTAAATAGTAACTTAGAATATCAAACTCTGCCTGTAATGACTGGCGTTCCTTATAAATATCTGAAGATGGGGTGACTGCATATATATTATCTAATTGAGTTATTCTGTGTTATCTCAGAACGCCTCTTTTTGTTTAACTTTGTCTTATGACATATGAAATGATTTCTCTCCTGAGGAATGTCTTCAAAGCCTCTCAAAAAAGAGATACAGATATCTCTGGACTTCTATTTGTGAATATGAAAGTCTGTTTTATTAGAAACAAATTCCACAAAGCTCTGGTCTAATAACATAGAAGTATTCAGCCGCCACAATGGTTGTGTACCATCGAGCCCATCAAAGTAAATATTCATGGTTACTGGTGCATGATCTGATATTACAATAGCATTATTACTGACTGAATAAGTCTATTATTAGAAAATAATCAATGTGTGTGAATGTTTGGTGAACATGGGAAAAGAAAGAGAATGCTTTACCATGTGGATGGAATGGTAATTTTTTTATGGAAAAAACACCATAAAAGATTGGACTGCACGAGCAGATTTTGAGGGTGAATTACATTTGAGAGATGAACGATAAAGATCTGGGTTAAGCCAACAATTGAAAACCCCTCCCAAAATAAGAAAATATGAAGATATATCCGATAGTGAGGAAAATAAGTATTTAAAGAATTTGTCATCGTCCCAATTAGGGGCATAAATATTAACCAAGAGAAGTGCAGTATTACCAATTCTCCCTGAGACGATGACATACCTGCCATTTGGTTTAACATCTGAACATACGAATTGCACAGATTTGTGTTTAATTATTGCTGTCCCTCTAGCCTTACCCTGAAACGTGGTATAGTAAACTTGACCAACCAATCTTTTTAATAATCGCTGGTCTTTGGCTTTAAGATGAGTCTCCTGGAGGTAAACAATATGTGACCCTAAGTGGTGAAGATGGTGTAACAAATCTTAGGTTACTACCCTCTGGTCTATATACCACCTTAGGTTGTGCCATATTTACAATCAACAGAAAGAATAATGATAGAATAAAATATGATAAAATAACAATGTTGGTAAAAACATCTGACACAAAAGGAAACACACTGGCTCACCTACAGAAAAAAAAAAATCTCCCCAAAACACAACACATGCATGACCCATCCTTAACATTAACTTTCTAACTGAACACATTGAGGCAACACAAGCTTTAACTCTAACTCGCAACATGTTGTCTCAAGAGAAGGCAACAGTATCTGAAATATAACAGGAAACAGTGCATATAACAGCACTTTTGAAATTGTGTCAAGCCCAGACCATCATCAACATAAAATGCTTCACTGGAATGACAATAGAAGGACCATTAATAATAAAATAAAAAAAGTTTAACCTTAGAATACACTTCACAGTTTTTGTAAATTACCAATAAGAGAAGGTCAATATTACAAATCGGCATAATGATATCCAGTAAAGGTACTCAGGTCAGACCTAGCCCAGTCGATGAACTATGCATCATTACCTAGTTTTGCGAATGAAGTCCAGTGCCGCAGTCAGTTCCACAAACGTGTGTGAAACTCCATCAGCTGTAGTGTAGTGAACACCGCGGGGAAGAGTACGCCATACCTGAGTCCAGGACACGAGTGGAGAACATGTATGACATCTCTGGATGCAGACCGTTTCTTAGCCACCGCTATAGTGTTGCCAGCAAAAATAGACAATCTCTTTCTGTTGTAATTGAGAGTAGAGAGTCCTGCAGCCCTTTGAAGAATCTCAGTACAAACTAATGCACTCTAATAACGAGACGGCGAGGAGGCTGCCCTTTCTTTGGTTTCTCACGCAGTGTATGGTGCGCACGATCCAGCAGGGGCTTATCCTGAAGCCGCAACACCTCCAGCAGAAGTTGGGCAACATATTCAGATGGATGGGAACCTTCAGGAAGACCCACCAGACGAACATTGTTTCTCCTAGAACGACCCTCCAAATCTTCGCAGTTAGTATCCAGATAAGTTAAGCAATCATTGAGAGACGAAATCAAATTCTCCAGTTCTGCTACGCGATCAGAAGAGCGCTCCACTTCTTTGATGGTACTAGTGTTGGATTCGACCATCTGTTGTAGAGGTTCCAACCAGCCTTTAACATCTGACCGCCCTGTGACAATCTCCGAGCACAAGTCAGTAGATAATGAGTCTATTTTCTGACCAATCTGAGTCCAGCATCGTCTGAAGACAACTGATATTCCCGGATGTGTTATCCGAGGCGCACTCATTGGTCGAGGACCCGTTAGCGTCACCTAAAGAGACCACCTTTATTGCAGCCTCCCTTAGTCACGAGACATCGCCATGTTTACCACTTATGATTAATGCAAGTGTAGTCTTAGAGTCTTGGGGGTTCGGTTCTTGCTCAAGGGTCTCAAGGTGGAAGAGAGCACTGGTCATTCACTCCCCCTACCTACAATTCCTGCCGGACCAGAGACTCGAACCCACGACCTTCGGGTTACAAGTTCAACTCTCTAACCATTAGGTCACAACTGCCCCTGAATATAGAGAGTTTCCTGCTGTTTGCGCATATTAATAACCATTCTCCTACACGGTTTCTTTATTTGTTTTAAACAGCAGAATGAATATTTATCTATTTCTGGTCAGAATTTGTAGACAATGAGCATATAAACCGCTGTGCCGTGCTGCTTATATAGCAACAGTAACCAAAGGGGGGCGGGTCTTTGCCAAGGGTCCATTACTTTTACAAAAAAATTACAACAATTACAAAAAATAAAACCTTCAAACGTGTGCTAGGCCAACCTTTAACTTTTGACACTGGTGTAAGGCAAAAGAACCATCATCACATGATGGTGATATATATTGTGTTCAATAGAGACTTTGTTATGATTTGTCCATTTGTGGTGGTGTGTGATCTCCATAATGACAATAAATAGATAAACTAATAAACAATCATATTTCTTGACGGGGTTAGCAGGTTAGCAGAAGATGAGAAAATGCTTCATTAAACCTTTCAGCCAACGGTTTGCTGAATTTGTCACAGGTGAAATCACTGTGTGCTTTGAATCTGCCGTTCCTCATTAGCTGAAACATTTAGTAACTCTGTCTGAATGTGTTGAGCAACTAATAGCATAATATGAGTAACAAAGGGAATCTGATGGCATTATGTATGGATTTACACTTACGTTGAGTATGATGCCGCGGAGGTGTTTCTGAGCCAGTGTACTCGCCATCTCCTGCCATAAACACACACAGAGTCAGACACAGATATAAACATCAGCGTGCCTGTGAACGTCTGAGCCAGACTATCACCACAAACACAGAGCACAGACACAAACACAGCCGACAACTAGGTGAGAATGTTTTGAGAGCAAATTGGTTGAGGAAATAAATCAATGATTCATTCATGAAGAAAGTCACAGGTTTTGTTCCTGAATGAACCTCAGCTTTTGAACAAATATGGACTGTTATATCAGGACTAATAAACTGCTGCTTGTCCAATCAGATCTGAGGACTGGATATAATTGTTGTATACAAATGAATAAGTAATTATACTTTGTATTTGCCGTTTCTTTGTGTGACAGTTTCCTACACTTTTGTGTCATTCCTGATGTATATGTGATTGGGCCTTTCAAGCACCAGTGAGTTGGTTTGTGTGTGTGTGAGTGTGAGTGTGAGTGAGTGAGTGAGTGAGTGAGTGAGTGAGTGAGTGAGTGAGTGAGTGAGTGAGTGAGTGAGTGAGTGAGTGAGTGAGTGAGTGAGTGAGTGAGTGAGTGAGTGAGTGAGTGAGTGAGTGAGTGAGTGAGTGAGTGAGTGAGTGAGTGAGTGAGTGAGTGAGTGAGTGAGTGAGTGAGTGAGTGAGTGAGTGAGTGAGTGAGTGAGTGAGTGAGTGAGTGAGTGAGTGAGTGAGTGAGTGAGTGAGTGAGTGAGTGAGTGAGTGAGTGAGTGTGTGTGTGTGTGTGTGTTCACCTGGCGTCTGTCCTCTGGGGTTTTGAGGAACAGGGCGTTGATGAGGGCGATGGCGTATGTCTGGATCTCCTGATTGGACCTGAAGGGATTATCGTACACACACACACAGTTAGAGGTATCTTGTTCTTGGATTCCAACACTTCTGGACTCTAGATCATGTGTCACTGTCTCATGTCTCCAGCAGACAGGAGCTCAACCTCAGGAGACGAGAGGGCCACATTCAACCGGCATCACTGCCACCATCACTGAAGGCACAAAACGATTTTAATGATGAGCTCTTGAGGTAAATAATTAAAAGTGTCATGAAATACAGAATTAAAATGTTCTTGATATTTACACATATAAGACGTTTCTCTACAATAAAAATATACTGCAAGTTTCAGAAGTCAAAACCAACTCCCCAGTTAAAATAAACTGAAACGCACAGATTTGAAATCAAATACTGAACATGCGTCATGGTCATATGTAATCAAGAGCAGTGTTCTGAACAACTCGTGTCTGTTACTCAATCACAGGAGCGATACTGCTGCTGGATGAAGATGTCGGGTCTGATGTGTGGGGACCTGACGACGGCAGACGGGTACGTGGATGTAACTGCGGGAGTTTTAATGAAAGAAACAAAATGACAACCAGGAACAACAGCAACTGACAAAGCAACAAGGGAAACACGAGGGCTATATATATTTCTGTCATGACAACTCTCGGAGGGATTGGCATGGTAATGTATATGACAATGTTGATGTATTTGGTCTTGGTGGAATAGATCTGCTGCTGCTACTACGGCAGAGCAAGTACTGAGACTTGCTACTGCCAATACATCCACAACATACTGCTGTGAGCATGTAAGAAATATTGCTGCTGCAAATATAACATACATGAAATAACCCCCATATAGCATACATGAATCACCTCGTAGCAGATCTATACAGGTAACTGCTGTTACTTTCTCCACTTCATCAGTCCCAGCGGCAGCGTAACAGCTTGTTAATTCATGTTCGTGCAATGATGAGATGGACAAAGTTAGCCGATGCATGCTATTTTACTCTCTTGTGCAGATAAAAGTTGTCAACGTTACAGTGCACAAAACCCCTGGGTGGACTGACCTGAATGAACTTTTCTGAATTACACAGCACAACGAGAGCACATGTCGCATGAGCACATTTCTCCGAACTACACTACCCATAATGCATTTCACTCAGAACTGACTGTTACAACCGTAGATAGTGATCTTCAGGGTCTCCCGCAACACTGTCATTGATATGACTGCGATAAGAGCGTGCTTCTGACGCTGCGTGCAGCTGAAATCAACCACACACTCATCACAATGAAAACATCGACCTTAGAAATAACGTACGTAAACACTGGGATAACCGTCGATGTATATGGCGAACCCCCTGTTGAAATGCATACACAAGAATGCTTATTTCATTTAACCTGTTTCATGTCCGTTACTATCGTGTCCTCGTAGCGATTACATATGCTCTAAACTGCATTTTGCTCCAGCTGTATAAACACAGATGCTAAATGCTGCTCCTAATATGCTTAATATTCGCTCCTGCATACAATGCAAACTGCTAACATGACGCTTAGTTTAAACTTGATTATGATTGCTCATTTTTTAATTCAATTAGGCAGACCACACAATACACACAGCGATATGGATTAGAAGAGCATTCACTTATCTTAGATGTTGATTTCGCTGTTCTGAAGCAAGCTGCAACTGCTATGGCAAGCACTAGTTATATATTTGAATGTTCAGCAGCGAGCTCATTGGCTACTGATACAGGAGAGAACTGTACATTCAGTACATTTAATACTATTAAGACACCAGGCGTATCACTGTATGAGTGTTGCTAATAAAATCAGTACGTACCAACATATGACAAGTATATCACAGCAGAGTGTCTACTTCCATTTCTGCAAGAGCCCCTTCAAACTCAGTGTCTTTCACAGATTGAAAATGAGGATGAAAAATTATCATTTTATATTGGACCTTTTTAGTGCAAAAAACTTAGCAAACTACATCGAGAAACATACTCTAAAAGTCTGAAACTGCATTTCATGACCCCTTTAACTGCCTAATATTCTTGTGATATTTTGTGGCCCATCAGAGGTCAAAGGCGTGGAGCACCTGTCAGTGCGTGAGTGAGTGAGTGAGTGAGTGTGTGTGTGTGTGTGTGTGTGTGTGTGTGTGTGTGCACG